GGAGATTGTTAGGGAGAGGGAAAGAACATGACATATTTTTCTGTGTTTTTTTCTTAGTAGGGATGTAGGATAGATTAGGAAATAGTGGGGTGGATTAAAAGAAGGATAAATACAAGTCAATGTTAAAAGATGCGCACACTCTTATCTTAACTACGGGCTTATTTCTAATTTATACCTCCATGTTTTAAGGGAGGATGTCTAGTTAATTCTCTTACCACAAATCAAGGAAGTTTGTCCAAGATGTTGGTCTTCCCTTTGGTTGAATTCGGTCAGACTAGAGAGGGAACAAAACATGGGTGTAGTTGATGCAATTATGGGTAGATAAAATAGAGCAAGAAAAACATTAGTCAAATAAATATTCTGTGATGTTTTTTTTTCTATTTTGGGAAGGGAATTTTCAGCCAAGTATGTGAGTGAAACACAGACTTTGAATGGTGATTGTTTTGTCTACGTTATGGGATATTGACTATGGGCATGACTCTTAAGGCAACATTTGAAAGATAACATGGGAAAAGTAATTTTATTCTTCTTTTTTCTCATGGTTTTCAGACAGGGGTAGAATATTAGGCAAATGGTTTATTTAATAGTGTAATCTACAATGAAATGGCACTAAAGGTTATTGTTGGATTTGGGCCTTTCAGGGGATTTCAACCAAGGGTGTGTTTTGGGTTGGAAATATAGTTATGTTGGCCTTTGGGGTTTTAGGACTTCTGAATTCAACCCAAAAGGGATCATAACACTTGCAGTCTTGGACACAAGTCCTTTTACTTCTTTGAGTTCATGTGGCGCGGGTGGAGTCATGGTAGAGTCACCCAGAGTATATCAGCATAGGATTCATAATCATATGAATATATGATTGTGTATTTCCCTAAATGGGCTAATGACTTCTTTGCATCAATTTTGAATCTCGCCTAGTTTGAATCGTTTTACCCTACGCCCTAAACTTCAACCACACAATTTAATTTTTCTAAAATTCCATGCTATTTTACATGAGAAGATGTTCGGGATGGAGGGAGTATTAATTTTGGGATTCTATATGTTTGGAGTATACTCTATATATAAACTGCCAAAAAAATCAGAATGGATGTAATCTCGTGTTCTAAAAAAATGTAATCTCACTGTCCTCTATACTGCTTTTGCGTTTTGGGATTGACAAGACTGGCTATATTATGCTGCATTGTAGGATACTGTAATGGAGCAGTGTTTGACAGCACTATCGATCTTATTCTTATGTTATATTATATAGTTTTCTGACTTGATACTAGTACTTGCATTTTGCAAATTTCCCTGTTTAGGAATGTATTAAAAATCGTTTTGTGTAAGTTACCACTGGAGCCCAAAGCGTCATCATTAGCAATTTTTTGTTTCAGGTCAATATTGGATTAAATCAAAGGGACACATTAAACTTCCTCTACTTTTTACTTTTTATGAAGTTTTAGGTAATAAATGTAGAAATGCATCAATGGTCTAACAGAAGCAGCCCCTTAGTTTTAAAATGGGTAAGGCTGCATTCATGTGATCCCATTGAATTTGGGATTATACTAGTTTATTGGTTCTGTTTGAAGGTATATGTAGATCATACACAATTCATTCATGGTGTCTCACTACTAGTTTATCCTGATACAGTTGGGTAAATGGACTAATGTTGTGAACTTGTGATTAAAAATTCCTATTTGAAATGCCTTGGACCTTGCAAAAAACAATTGATTGTAAGCATTGTTTTTGTAAAATGCAAGTTTTTTTATCTTCCAGAGATTTCAGAAATGTGAATACGCCAAAACAAAGTTGTTCAAAACTGATGGCCGTGGGTGGGGTCTTCATGCAGATGAGAATATAAAGGTAATGACTAATGTGTTTGAAGCTTCATCTTCTTTATTTCTTTATTTTTCCCTGAAACTTGCTTCAGATGGTCTCACGGAGCCTGGTCATGTAAAAATTGTACCTTTGGGCTATTAGCCACCACTTTTTCAAATGAACTCAAGATGATGTGTACTTGAACAAGTTATAATTGAAACTTCTCACTTATTGAAATTGTATGACTGTCTCGCCCAAGTTTTTGCCTCCTTAAATGGCGCCAGTTCCAATTCACTTTAATTCAACAACAACAACAACCCAATTTAATCCCAACTTCTTGGAGTGTTTGGGTCAAGATGTGCCTCACCCTCGTAGAAAAACAGAGAGGTTAGAAATGTTAGACTCTTGATGCGTTGTTCCATTTATTTCCCAAAAATCCGTTTAAAGTTAAAAGCAAGAGAAGTTTAATTGTCATTATGATTTAGTCTATTTTGACCCAAATCTAAAACTTGTCAAAAATGACTCTTTTAGATCCATTGGCAATGGAGGCAATTCAATGTAATGTGACATAATCAATCATTTCATTGTTAAAGGCTAAAAGCAAAGAGAGTTTTGGCATCTTAAGCAAACCCAAACTTAGGGAGTTTGGGACCTTAACCATTTTTCACTGTGAATTCCGAATTCTAGTTCACAGTCATTCATTTTGTTCCTTTGCAATTAAGCATGTTACTCTTTTCTGGGTCATATCATAGGGTTTCAAACTTCCTAAATGATATTCTTTCTCTGTTTGTCTAATATAGTAAATTTTTTCGAAAAATTAAACACTTTCTATGACCTTAAAGTGGCTTAGCCAAAATTTCTCAGTTTATAACCTGGTTTCGCATGAGGGAAGAGAACCTGTCGTTTTCCAATTTTTTCTGCAAATTATCAACTTTCCTGATTTGAGGTAATGCTTATGGCTACATGACTATCATACCAGCTTGTCATAAGTTTGATAGGATTAACTTCCTGGTCTTCCTCGGACAGCTAAATCTTCATTAAATCACTCGACTCATCATGAGCTCTCTTAAATTTCCTTTTTCTACATATTATTAGGATGGACAATTTATAATTGAGTACTGTGGAGAAGTAATATCATCGGAAAAAGCGAGGAAAAGGTCTCAAACTTATGAAAATCAGGGTAGGTGTTTGACATTTTGATACGAAAACCAAGAAGTTAACTATGACGAATTCTAACACGAATTGAATGATGCAGGCCTTAAAGATGCATATATAATCTCTCTAAATGCCAATTATTTCATCGATGCTACAAGGAAGGGAAGCGTAGCAAGGTTTATTAATCATTCATGGTAATAGCTTAGAATTTTTAAACTTAAACTTACATCCCTAACTTGCATATTGCATTTCAATTGATATATTTCAAATCATAATGGCATGGAAATGGCTTATGGTATTAAATTTTCCAGCCTACCAAATTGTGAAACAAGGAAGTGGACAGTTTTAGGAGAAACAAGGGTTGGTATTTTTGCTAAGCAAGATATTTCCATAGGAATTGAGCTCACATATAACTACAACTTTGAATGGTATGGTGGTGCTACTGTTCGCTGTCTTTGTGGAGCGCCAAAGTGTTCTATATTTCTTGGTGGAAAATCTCATGGATTCCTGGTGAACACCAATCATTTTAAAATTGTAGTTTCTTTTTTAGATTTTGAATATCTCTAGAATTTACCTTGTCCTTACAATCCTGCTATTGTGATACAGGAATATAATCATGTGTGGGAAGAGGGAGATGACAGGTAGTTCTAGTTGTGCCTTATTTTTTTTCTTGCTCCATTTTGTTTTTTCATCACAGTAAATCAGTAGTGGAATTCTTTAACCTATGTGGATATCAGAATATGTAATGGTTTCATATATGAGATGCCATTGGAAGTAAACTATGATAGTCATATAATTCCATCATTTGGAAACGAGTACTCGAGTACATTTGCTCATGAAAGATGTTTAATGTAGAAAGTTTATATACCAAAACTGTAAAAGCATAATTCCTCCCACTCTTATTGCAATAATTGGAATTATCATTTATGAAGTTTAAAAAGCACTCTATTTCTTTTACTCCTGTGAGATATGTGTAGCACAGCCTTCTCGTATGTAAATTCTAAAGCAGATTAGACCTATTAAGGAAAGCTAGATACCATAGAGGCGGCTGATGTTACATTGTTAGAGCTACTAACTTAGAGCCTTCAGGCTTACACAGACATTAAGATGCAAAACTCCTCATGGCTTAAAAGCACTTTTTTGGACATTAGATTGGGCAGACTTGTCCTTGAGCCCACCCATAGTCACAAAATTCGCTCCCTAAGCCGCGACTTCCGCATTGGTACGCGGCGTACCCAATCGCAATTCGATTACGATCCGATCGTAGGCGGTATGGCGTACTCTTTGACATGGTACAGCGTACCAGATCGAGCTGGTACGACGTACCAAAAGCAAACTGAAATCGTTCCTAGCCCCTTGGTATGGCGCACCAAGTCGGAAATAATGGCTTACCAATCACCGGCGGTACGGCAAACGAGTCCAATTCAACTTTCCCTCTTCCAATTGAGTAGTTCCCACTTCCCAGGCACGTATTGAGTATCCCACTTTCCAATGTCTTATTTAAAAAATAACTCCTTTAATGTTTATTTCAAAATTCAATTTACAATTAGATATTATACTAATATATATATATGTGTGTGTGTGTGTGTGTATATATATAGATACATACATACATACATACAACAACAATCCAGTTAAATCCCACAAGAGTAGGGTCTGGGGAGGGTGTGTGTACGCAAACTTTACCCCTACTCGAAAGTCAGAGAGGCTGTTTCCAAAGAGACCCTCGGCTCAACGTCGAAAGTTGCATTGCTTGACTAACTGCTACTTCATTAATTAAAGAAGCGCAGACAGTTTAGAGATCCATTTTGATTTATTCCATCACACCCCAAAGCTAAAAAATGGTGAAATTTTGGCTCCATCGGAGATGATGGAAAATACATACACACACACACACACACATACACACATACATATATACACACACACTAAGCACTGCACACTCTCACCATTCACAACCCAATCTCTATTCCTCTACTTTCAATTTTTTCTCTTTTTTCAATGGCTTTTGGCAAAAATAAAGTTATGTTAATGTTGATGATGAAGCTAATGCTGTTGAACAATCAGAAACGTTATTCTTGTTTTTGAAGCTGTTGAACACACACACTCTTTTGTTTTTCTATTGGATTTTGTAATGTTATGCACTTATGATCATCTTATCTATTTTTTTACTTATGTTTTGACTTTTGGTACACCGAACCGAATACATGGTACACCGTACCGCTTCGTACCGAAATGAACCTACCCCCCTGCATACCGAATTCGTCACCTCTAGCAAATTTTGTACCCGTACCGTGTGCCCGTACCAAAATGTACCGCGATTTAGGTGACTATTAGCCCCCCTAAGTCGTAAGTACCTGTCCTTTTGCAGGAAATCTGAAAGTTGGATACATTTTTATTGGACTTGCTTGATAATTAGTGAAGGGAATGAAAGCTCACTTATACTGCAACCAAGATCGTGCATGAAGTAAAATTCAAACTAATAGTACAAGTATTGCTAGTAGGAACTTAATAAATTAAAATCAACTAGTTCTATTAGGAATTTCCGAATTGATACAACTATTGTTATTAGAAGCTACAGTAAATACTTTTGCTACCCATACTAATCTCAATAGTTTCATTATAAACTCTGAACTATTAACGATTGTTAATGATTTTTTGCTCGGTTGCAATCCAATTAGTATTAGGAAACTAATACTAATATTATAAACACAAATATGAAGATAATTATATTTTAGTACTATATGTCCAGGAATCCAAATCTATTTGAGTTGGTAAAAAAATTATTGCCCCGAGTTGTGATGTCGCATTGTCTTAGTGCAGATACCCAGTCGATGAAATTCCCCTGTATGACTCTGGAGAGGATGAAAACCTTATCAAGAAAGCCAGTATTCACACTGATGTTGAACCAAAACCAATGGACGATGAGAGTAGAGTCTACCCTGGAAGTGGAATGGTTAGTTTTGAAGAGGAATATGAACATAGTTCAGATGCAAGAATTTCCTTGGATCCAGTGGATGGTGTTGTACCAAGGAAAGAACTATATCCTAATGATTTGCAAGATGGATATCACAAACACAGTGCATTTATACCTCGTCGGAATAATAATGCTGGAGTTAGTCCATTTAAGAACAAAGTGAAACATTCTTCCAAACAAAAGGCCAAGTCTTCTGGACGAAAGCAAGTAACCGCCGAAAATGTTTCTAAACTGTTTTCATCCAAGGAATCAATGGAAGAAATTATGAAGTATGAGGTATGTGCAATTTATGTTTCGGCTATTATTCTTCTATGGGAATGTTTATTTCACTGTGACTCTGTGAGGGCGATGAAAAGATGTGGATAAAAACTTTACACACTAGCAACGAATATACCCAAATATATTGCTTGCCAGTGGGTTGGTTCTTGATTGGGTTCGTACTGACTGTTTTTATTGCTCAAAATGGTTTAGTTCATGCTGTCAGCAAGCGTCTTTGGTAGGGCATCAAATGCAAGCAATTGTGTATTTCACTATATCTATTATGCTTAAGTGTTTGTAGACTTGTAGTATGCTTTGGCATGACTGAAAATTTCCTGAGCAGTTAAGGCGTATCTCATTATGTTCTTTAATACTCCTGCCTCATTAAAGGACTCTTCTTTCTGAACATATTTATTGTCCTTAAAAAGTCCAATTTGAAAAAATAAGCTAGTTCCCATCATATTAAATGTTCTTATAAAAAAAGTACTCCGTATCTCTCTCACACAAGTTGAATGTATTAATTTTTGTTTAAGAAACTAAAACAATTAAGTATAGCTATATTGAGCTTCTCTCTTGGCTTGAATCGTTGGAAGCCCACTCCCTATGATTCATCGGGAAGCTCACCCAGGTTTGAGTCCCAACAAAAATATAGGCGGAGGCATTGGCTCATTTTGCATCATTAGGTAGAGAAAGTATGAACATATACTACACCGTAATTGAGTCCATAACAATAAAAAAAAGTATAGCCATATTTGATGATTTCTGATAGTTGTTACATTTCTAAAATAAAAAAGGTTGGGCATTTGTTGCCAAGGACTTGTTTTTTATAGGATGTCTGGAGTACTAATTTGGCAGGATTTAGTAGTTCTGGATTTTTCTTTTGGTAGTCATTACTTGGGAAAGTGTGATTCCAATAGTTTGGAGGGATAATCATCCTATATATTGTAATAAATAGTGTGTCGGTGTAATAATATCTATCTTATGTGGTCTGACCCATCGAGCTCGAAAGCTTATTAGAATTTTAAACCAAAAATGAATTCATTTTCTTATGGTGGGTTTACTCAAAAAGCTTCAATCTTTGTGAGGTTATAATGAATCTCACGCAGGAAATGAGAAACCAGGTGAACTCAACGCTCAATTCCCTGTATGATGAAATTCGCCCTGCCATTGAAGAATTTGAACGGGATAGCCTGGACAATGTGCCAACCAGCGTTGCAGAAAAGTGGATTGAAGCATCATGCTTTAAAATGAACTCCGATTTTGATTTTTTCTTCTCTGTGGTTAAGAATGTCATGTGCCCTCAACAAACGACCAATGCTGATGAGGTGAAGCCTTCTTGGGAAGGTGAGGATAAATCATATGAAGTGAAGATGTTGACAGGTTAGAAATGTCATCTGCCCTCAAATAAATCGTTGCTCTTTGTTTCATTCATTGATTGATCTCAAAACACAGAGTTTACATGCTAACTGTTATTCCAGTCACATTCATATTGGATTGAAATTCCTTTGTATTACTAACAACTGTGTTTGGTTTTATGAAGTTCATTTGCAACTGAATTTTGTTCATCTCGAACCTTTAGATGATTTTCTGCAATTCATTTGCAACTCGAAGCTTGTTTGGTTGCACTTTTTTGAAGTTCAAACTCATTCTTTCTTCGCATTATTCCCGTTGAATTTACGCCTGTCAAATATTTTCTGAATGCACGGCGTAAGTTTGCCACCTTTGTCAACATTGAAGCTGACCAGAAGTGCTTTATCGTGGTTTTCATCATCAAATTATTCGTCGTCAAATTGTATTGCAGTGGCGAACAGAAGAAGATGATGATGAAGAGGAAGAATTCTTTCTCAGTCTGGTTTTTCTTTTGCAGAAATTTGCCCAAAAAGTCTTAACTTACACAAACAAATCAAAGACAATGCCAGAATGCCTAAAGGTGTAGACGCACTTGTATGAATGCATAAGTTTTGGAAAATTTAATTTAAATAGACTCTTCATCTACTTCAATGTTTGCCTTTTCAATAGACCTGGCAAAATAGACACTGATATTGATTGTTTGTATCCTATAGTTCGAAATTAAATATAAATGACCCGAAAACTAAAAAACGATCTATAACATGATCAAAATTGGAATAACTCGAAAACTAAAGAGTCGATCTATAACATGATCAAAATTGGATCGGAACCAATGTGTCCTTAAAACCAAATTAGATCTAAAATCGGTTAGACTTGAACTAAATAATCCACAGTTGAATTCGAGACTACCCAAAATTTAAAGATTTGATCTATAACCAAAAATCAAAGATGAATCAACCAAATTGGAACCGAACTAAATGTATTCAAACTTGAATTAGATCTAAAATTGATCATCCCTGAATCAATTGAGCCCTTACCTAATCTCTCCTGAAAAACAATCAGAATCAAACTGTTCAAATCCAAAACTAATTACCCCCAAAGTCTTTGAAATCTGAAACAAAATCATGACATGATTCATTAGTAATAAATTAACAATAGGGTTTATCAAACAAAAAAAAATTAACAATAGGACTTATGGCAAAAGTTTGGAAAAAAGACCCAATTACCCAAAAACAGTAAAATTAGATCTAAAGAACAAAACACACAAAACATGGTAAGAAACTAAGAAAGCAATGTATGGTGATGAAAAATGTAGGGTCATCCCAATGAATATCAAGTCTTGTGGGATTTTATTACGGAGTGATGAGTTTCATCTGCCAAAAATATACATATAGTACATGGAGACGAAGTTATATATTACCTTTTGTTCAAGGAGATGTTACATTTAGAGTACAAGTTTTGGGATACTTAATGCAAACACTAATTAGCTCTACTAATCATGGAACATACTCTATCAAAACTCAATCACGCAAAGATCACTATGTGGTCTCTATAACTTAACCGCAACCTTGAGATACGCCTCGCAAGGTTGAACCTCGTTTCGTGGTCATCACAATGCATATCCCTCTTTATGTGGGTTGGACTCTACTTCCAGAATTAGGCGATCTAATTCGTACAAGAATCGAGCTTAATGTCTAAGGCTTAATCACATTTTACTTAATGAATTGAACCAAAAGTATTGGGCTATCAATCACGGAGTACTATTCAAACTATGAGAAGAAGCATGGCATCAACATTATTTCATTAAATTTTATAATCGTAGATATAAAAATGGAACAGAGAGAGAGAGAGAGAGATTGCACAACCAAGCAGTGTTTTTGTGCAACTTTTTTTGGTGCAATCAAACACATTAATAAGGAATTAATGATTATTAAAGGCCTATTTGGGAATAGCGTTAGCGATTAGCGTTACCATTTTGAAAAGGCTATCTACGGGTAGCGTTTAGCGTTAGCTTTTTCAAAGTAATCTGTATCGTTAAAATTTTATCCAAAACGCTAACGCTAATCTCTAACGATATTCCCAAACAGACCCTAATAGTATCTCCCATTTTTCACAGCTTTAAAAAGTAAATGTATCCTTATAAGTATTTCATATATTTGTAGCAGCAATTCAAATGAGGACCGAAGTATCTAGATAGATCTCATGTAATTAAAATTTGTTGTAATTGTGTATGGCCTATTTGGGAATAGCGTTAAAGATTAGTGTTAGCGTTTTGGATAAAATTTTAACAGTGCAGATTAATTTGAAAACGCTAACGTTAAACGTTGTCCGTAGATAGCCTTTTGAAAACGCTAACGCTAATCTCTAACGCTATTCCCTAACAGGCCCTATACCTAAATCTTTTGTCATGTTTTTTGGTTCACCGAATAATTACAAAGTTGAAGTATAATAGGTCTAATTGAAGGGCCCCAATTACCATTTGAACTTTGATGGTGTTAGAATGAATTAGAAAACCTTTTCTATATAAATACACATTTACATTCTTGTGTAACTAACCATACACATAAAGTAATTACGGAGTAATTACACTTTAATATCCAAAAGATCCATGTAATTACATATTTGTGCATTTACACGACTATTGATTTTGTGCATTTGATATTGTGTAACTAACCATGTGTATAAAGTACTCCCTTCGTCCCGTTTTAAATCATCTGTTTTGACTTTTGGACATATTTAAGAAAAATAAAAAATAGAATTGATTTTCCAAAATTGTCATTACTTTTTAGGAGAGGTGACGATGAATGAGAAGATGAGATGGAGAAGAGTAACTTATTTTAGGGGTAGTTTAAGTATTTTACTCATAAAAGTTTACAATGACAAGTAACAGACAACTTATTTTGGAACAGAGAAAAAAAAGGCAAAGAAACAATTTAAAATGGGACATAAGGAGTTATTATGTAGTAATTACACTTTGATATCCAAAAGATCTACGCAATTACATATTTGTACAATTACACACCTATTAATTTTGTGTAGTTATTAACTGGATAACGACACGTACAGTTTAGTAATTACGTTGTAATTACTGGTGTAACTATTCATACACATAAGGTAATTACGGAGTAATTACACTTTAATATTCAAAAGATCCGCGTAATTACATATTTGTGCATTTACACGACAGTTGATTTTGTGTATTTACTCTTGCATAACTAACCATGCATATAAAGTAATTACGTAGTAATTACACTTTGATATCCAAAAGATCCACGTAATTACATATTCGTGCAATTACCCACATATCGATTTGGTGTAACTACTATCTGCATAACGACACGTACAGTTTAGTAATGAAGATCACATATCAAAATATATAATGCCATCACATTATTTCATGAAAGAATAATAGTTGAAAGCCTACAACAAGCAACTGAAAATATTAACAAAGGCACATGCATTGTACAAGTCCATGGCAAACGTGAGTAGAGCTCTTCTTCCCACCTTCACGACCATCTTAAGAGACCTAAGGCACCTTGAGAATGATGAAATGCCTGCAAAACAGAGTATTCGTTAGAGCAGTCCTTTGGTAGACTACATAATGCCTCATACTAAATTTATAAATTCATTCATTTCTTAAAATAAAACAAAAATATAAGGGTAAGGGGAATTTTTCTCAAAAGCACTGTACACTAACACACATTTGTGTGTGTGGAACGGTTTCTAGAGGCACCAAAGTTCATGGATAAGGGCTTTTTCATAGCAAATTAATTAATTGATCACAGAGCTTGAGGGAGGTCTTGTAAGCCTCAATGGCTTCAACCATGGCCTTCTCCAAGGCCTGAGCATTGGGCTCCTTGACTCCCTTTAGGGCAGCCTCCAGTGCCTTCACCAAGCCTTGGAGCTCAGCCCTCTTATTCTCCTCCCCTGTCGAGTACCAAATGAACTCTATGATGACCTTAACCGTTTGAACATGAATCTAACGGTTTGGATTTAGTCTCCATGGATAAGTACCATTTTGTGGTACAGATTGAAACCAGACCCAAATGAATTCTAAGATGACTATAACCGTTTGAACTTGAATCTAATGGTTTGGATTCAGTCTCTGTGGATCAGTACCATTTTGTGGTACAGATTGAAACCACAACTGCCCACACAGATGCACCGACAGATTATATTAAACTGTGCTCTGAGAGAATAACTCAAATGACTAACCCCATGCATGATTCAATAATGACGTGGAAGCCTTTGAAGTTCGGAAGATGCGCAAAAGGCAGCATCTGCCACTGTTTGAATGCCGCAATGTTTGAGCTGAAACACAACCTTTTCGAGTTTTGTTATGTCTGGTAAGTGTATTGCTAGAATCATACCATGTGACAAGTACTGTCGGCAAGAGTAACCAAGAGCATAGAGAATCCTTTGTGGTAGCAAGATCGAAATGGTAGGATTCCATGACTCTAGGATGATAGTCACTCTCGCAAGGTTGGTTAGGAATCCAGTGGTAGCTTCCCTTGGAGCAGCCTTGAACAGCAAAATCAAGCATTCAGATGCTACATCTGATACATTATTCTTACTGGACTTGCTCAGATCCAGCAGAACTCCAACATTCTCACCAAAGTCCATTATGTCTCTGATGCACTCATTTGGGTCAATTGCTGCACATGAATTATTATTATATAGTAGAACAGGTTCTTTAGCATAGCTAGCCCCATTCCTCGTGCCTGCTGAACGTAAAAGGAATGCCCTACAAAGACAAAGAGTATGTTCGATGATATCTTCCATTTCCTTGGCGCACACAAACTCAAGGAGGCTTCCAAGCTTTCTCACAACTTTGAGTTGAGAAAGGACTTTAGTATCAAGTTCTGGAGCAGATGCCAAAGCCAGACAAAGCATGACATTGTTGACATTCACAGTGGAGAAGTCAACTAGCAAAAACTCAAAGCACTGTGAGATTATCTTCATATGAAGAATGTCTGAAATTGTTATAAGACCGTATTCTATGAGCATCACTAAGAGCTTTTGAGCATAAACTGGAATTGGATCTTCATCCTCAACCAAAGATGGGTACAAAGGGAGGAAATGAGAATTTGATATAGACTTCAATTCCATCATCTTCTGTTCATTCCCTGATACTTCATTCAATAAAGTGGCCATCAAATCAAAGAAAACCTTCAGACACAAAAACCGGGCATCACCATCTTTATTTCCTCTGTACACCACACTTAAACTTGGTAGGACTTCACAAATAAAAATGGTTGAACCCTCTTCAATCGCAGATGTCTCCTCTGCAATAGATTCAAGTATCCGCAGAAGTGTTATCTGAAAATCGTCTCTTCCCTGAAATTCAGAGCATAACTTTAACAACAATATTGGTACAGACTGGCAAAAAAATGTGCATAGACTACATATATTTTGTGCTGATATTAGTTCCAAATTTTATGTCGCCCAGGCATATTTAATATTTTCTCATCAGATTCTCGACATTTGTATCATAGTAAGGGTTACAAATTCCATGACTTATGGCGGACAAACATAACCCATACAATGTAAGAAACATACTTCATTCCTAGAGCTCCTGTTTCCATATGCATCCAAGTTCTGTTATTTCCATGTTTCTCAATCTAGATGGTAGGTCATGTGTGGCATGATTAATCAAAATACAATTATTTTGATCTACTTCATGGTCCAATCAGAGAATATAAGGCAACACATACTTTGTATTGGAACATTTTCTTAAAAACAAATTTGGTTTTAACTTTGAAGGTTATAACTAATAGAGAAAGCAGTGTGCACAGATTGAACTTACATGGAAAGGAGACTCCATCAATCTCAAAAGATTTGCCAACTGTTGTATAACCTGATGACAAGCAACCCTTTGCTTGAGTAACGAACATCCAAGAAGATGGAGAACAACAGGGAAAAAATGAAAATTGTTCTTTGAAGAATTCCGGCTTGCCACTCCCATAATCTGTACACGGCGTCTGCCACCCATAAGTTGTTGAATATCCACAATAATAGTTTCCAGTAGACTTGGCACACTTGATGCGACAACATCTGCAAATGTATATAAGCATTGCTTCACATAGCTGTCTTTATCCTTGAGAAGCCTATCAACAGTTGATAGGAGTTTCGCATTGCAAAAGAATTGTGGAAGCCATCTCTTGCCATTCTTGCAAAGTAGAGCCACAGAGAGAAGCGCCTTTCCCTTCAAAATTTCGCCTTCTTGCTCTATAAGAGTAATAAGGTGTGGGACAAGGTTCTTGTCTTCCAACAAGGGAGGAAGATATCGCCCAATATTTGCTGGCATATGACTTTCAGAAAGCGCCATGTTTAAAAGATTCAAACATATTTGCTGTTCACGTTGACTACCCTTAACTAGGATTGATGAAATATCCTTTAATGGAAGTTTATCTAAAACACGTTGAATGCAGGTACGACTGAAACGAACAAGGCGTACCAAACAAGATCCTGCAGTTAGTTTTATGATCTCTTGTTTACAGGGAGCTCTAAAAATATGACAGAGGTTAGTAAGTACAGCCTGACTTGTGAAACGAGCAGACCAATGGCCTCCTTGACTGGAAATGTTTTCAATGGTCCTTAGTGCGTAAAGTTGGGTCATATCATCTTCTCCATTTCGTAAAATTGATGACACTAAGGAAATTATGGAATTTGTCACCTGAAAGAATAAACACTTGTGAATTGTGAAGTTAAAAAATGAATAGAAGAGTTAACTTAGTGACAAACTTATTGTTTTACTATTTTATCAGCTAATGTCTCATTGGGATTTGTGACAGATGAAGAGGAATACATAAGAATAACAGAGCCTTCAAGTACATTACTATGAAATACACCTACTTATAAGATCTAGTAAACCATTAAAGTTGAAATCTGAGAGAATCACAGGGGTCCTTAAAGCAAGACTGCAAGAGTGCACCCAATAAAGCTTTTTACTTTTTACAAAAGGAAACCCACTGGTACTTCATAAAACCAATCCATGATTGAAGCCAGTGTTCTAAAAATCGATCTAGGCACCCACCTAGGTGGTGACTACAAACATGAAATATTGGTTTTAAAAAATATATTGGTTCTTCAATTTTATGGAAATAACGATGCATATATCAAATTTGATATCAGTAGGGGGAGCCCAGTTCGCAATGCATCACAGCTTAGTGGGGGTCCTCAATTTCGATATCAGTAAGAGTAAAACTTCTAAATGCAAAAATAGTATCCCTTTATGGTTAATGATAGAAGTATATATGATACTAACTCCACCCCAAAATATTCGACCAATTTGACTTTTCAAGTCAAACTAGACAAACTTTGATCATCAATTAAATACAAATGGTATCACATATTAGTACAAAAATAACTTCATTAGGTTTATCTTGTGTAGAACTTTCAAAAACTTATTTCATTGTATTAATATGCAATGCAAATTTAATGTAATTGATAATTAATAATAATAATAATAAATTTGAAAAAAAAATTGAACTAATTAGCTAACCATGATTTTCTACATATGGAAGACAAGAAAACAAAACATGATTATGTTTTCAATTGTCCAGAAAACAAGAACATTTTTCATTTACTCAATTGAAAATTCCTACCTCATTCCCTCCAGCATGTTAATGTATGGAATTAAAACACTAACCTGCCAAACAGACGAAGGCCTGGCATCTTTAGATGGAGACACAAAGACATTAGTATCCCTAGCATGATCGTCCTGAGTCGAAATATAAAACAACAATTCACCCAATGCAGCCATGGAAAACCTTCTTACTTTGTCTTGTCTATCTCTGAGGCCATCAGTTAAAGCACCTAATATTCCAGAATTAGACAGCTCATCTCCGATAAAAGTAGAACGGCGGATCAACAAACCAATTAGTGAAGCAAGTTGAGCATGCAAAAGTGATGTCTTAGACTGTCGGAGCATTTTAACCAAAACTAACATGATAGGGCCATTGGTCAAGATGTTTGCTGCATCGGCATTGCTACTTAGCATCTCAAGGTACCTGATCACATTTTGTTTCTCGCCCGTAGAAGTGTTCCCAGAGAGAATGCCTATAATCTTGTTAACCAGGTCTGGTTGCTCTTTTGACATTTTGACAAAATCAGATGCCTGAAGTGGATCAAATGGAAGTGAAGGAGTCGTTCCTGAAACTTTATCAGATTTTCTACTAGGCATAACAGGTCTGACTGAAAGATCAGAAGGATGCCAGAGAACCTGGGAGAGGCTTGTTGATGATTTTGGTGCATCAGTGTCAGAACTAGGACCCTCTTTAATTTTAGGAGTTATAAGTTGAAGATCATCGCTGTGTTCTGAAGATGGTTCCGGGTCGATCACTTTTGATTCATCTGAGCAAGGCAGGTTAACCATAGGTGATGATCCTGAATTGGCACTATCTGTCCCTTCCAATTTTTCCTCCTGCTCACTTGGTGTAGACACAGTGGATTCTGTGGTGCATTTGATGCCTTCCGTGTCATCAGGTTCATCACTTGCCTCATCCTCGGTGTTCTCACTAAAATCAAGTTCCATATCATTATTTTCTATTTTAACTTCTGCATCATTCTCTGAGCTATTTGGCAATGGCCTCCTATAGTTCTCCTTCTCATTTTCCCTCCTTAAATTAGATTTTGCAATTCTTGACAGCCGTAGCAGATTGACCTCCCTTGCATTATTTAACACATCCTTGTGCTTATTATCAATAACTCTGCCAGAAGCTTTTTGCTGAGGTTTTCTTGTACTGGATATGCCCCTGTTTGGTGTATCATGACCTTTAGACTCAGTGTTTGAATTCTCATCATGCCGGTGAATCCCTTTAGAATCTTTTTCACGAGTTTTTTGTGGGGTCTTGTTTTGAAGAGGTTTTTCACCATTTCGTTCTGAAAGGTGAAGTCTAGAAGAAAGCTCAATCATATTATCAAAAGCAGGTTGTGGAGGTAATGAAACCGGAGCAAATTTTGTTCTCCAAAATGCATGTCCACATAGTTCAGGCCACTTAATTCTTTCAGCTGGATCCTTGATTAAAAGAGAACTGATCAGATTCACAAAGGGGCGACTTGGGGTGCCAGGCAGAGCAGGAATTGGATCTGCAAGTATTGATTTCACTAACTGAGTGAATTCTCTTCCAACAAATGGTGGTCTCCCAGCATAGCATTCATACATCACACAACCTAGAGCCCACAAATCAGAAGAATAAGAATGGACCCCTCCATCCTGAAACAGCTCTGGAGCCATGTAACAGGGCGTTCCGCGTTTTGCTTGCGGTAACTGAGAAAACATAGAAAGTAACAACTCAGTCAGTACAGGGTGTCAGGTCAAGGAAAAACGTTGTGCATCTGAAAGAAATGCATACACAACATTCCATCCACATTATGCAAAAAAAAAAGTTTAGAGTGGTATGAGTGTACCTGCAAAGAAGGTGTTCTTGAAATATCATTTAGCTTTCTTGACAATCCAAAATCGCACAACTGCAACCAGAAGAACATCAGTAGGTAGAAGATAGATGTGGCAAGGAAAAAAAGAGTACAATTGCAGCATAATACCTTTGTGAGTCCATTTGCATCTAATAGAATGTTTGATGGTTTTAAATCACAGTATAATATTCCCTTTGAATGTAATATCCTGGCAACACGGTAAATGGTGAAGTGGACAAACCAAAATAGCAACAAAAGGATCAATTTTATAAGGCTTACGCTAGATTCACTTACTGCAAAGCTCTTACAAGGCCACACGCAAGATCATGTATGGAATCTTCTGGAAGCTTAGTATCCTGCACTCGGTGAACAATGTTTCCAATATAACATTATTTGGAGATGATACAATGCCAGTAAGGAATGCATATGAAAATTTGTTGTGTTTGTTCCTATCCTGATATGTGTTTGAAGTTTCACATCAATGCAAGCATCCAATGGACCATTGGTAATCAAAAGCTTTGCATATCCAAAAGAAGGGAAAAAATATGTAAATGGTTATTTGTGAAAATTTATGAAACATGAACTAGCTGATAGAGTACCAGCTAGCATAAAAGTATTGACTACTGCATATTCCCAAGAAACAAACCACAAGTTAGAGTCAGTGGGTTATGAGGTGTATAATTTGTATGTTAAGAGTTACTCCCTCTGTCTCAATGTATTTATTGAGTTTGACTTTTCACCGGAAGTTTGAGTGTGTTTATCTAGCACATTAAATTTGAAAACCTACGATGAAATAACTTCTTGGAAAAATAATTCTGTCAGTATTTTGCAAGACATGTCTTATAAAACCTTTTATATATTATTATTATTCAAAATATTTTAAAATTAAATAATGACCAAAGTTCATAAAGTTTGACCGTGAAAAGTCAAATTGGGCAAATGCATTGGAACAGGGGAAGTATAAGATATATGGACTACGAAGTAGACGAAGTAGAATGTAGAATTATCCTTTTCCATCTTAATATAAATTATAAATACATTAAAATGTTTGTATTAATCATAGGAAGGAAAAGAATAAATCAATGGACATATTTCATAAGACATGCCAACTTTCAGAGACCTAAAATATACCAAGAGTATTGTCAGTTTATCAAATGAGGACATGAGTAGTTCAAATATCTAAAAAAATAACAAAACTACCTGCTGTAATAAGGTCATGAGATTTCCTCCAACACAATATTCTAGCACCAACCATAAGTGAGCAGATGTTTCATACCTGTGCATCAATTGTATGAAAGAGTAAGAGAAGGCATAGTGCCTCTGATGTCTGAACTCCAAAAGGAGCATACATACAGAAGATGAGACTTAAGAAAATTTTACCAAGAGAAAAACTTTAAAATGTTTGGATGATCAAGAGAATGAAGGATCCTCCCCTGTAGTTAGAAAGAAAAACTCGTTTAACACAATTGAAGTATCTTAAATGAAAGGAAAATAAAACAAAATGATTTCATCTCTTCTCAGTGAAACCCAAAATGCTGATACAGGCTGTTGATGAAATTACCCATGTGAGTAGATGGTCAGCATACATCAAACAGTAAGAACTTTAAGGGTGCAGGCATTATACCATAACTGCACTGCATACCTAAATAGTTCTTTCACAAATTGTTACTAAAAATATATCAAAACTCTTTTCTTATGAACTGATGTTGTTTTTCCCTTTGATGTTATCCACTTTTATCTTAATCTTATTTGAAGCCGTACATGACCAGTTAATCTAAAAGACTATGAATACTTATCATTTGGGCATATGAATAAAGGCAGGTAGCTTTGGGTAAATGGTAATAAATTAGAGGGCGCATATAGTATAATCATTACTGAGTACTCTATACTTCTTAAAATGGCTAAAGTAAGTTCAGATAATCCAACCGTATGTTAAACCAGAAAATAAATACTGTAAATGCTTAACCAGGAGTAAAGGCTGATACTCAGAAAGATAACTCACTTCTTGAAGAACCTTGGCCTTTTGAGATTTATCCACACTCTTGATGGCAAAATATTCAATGGTCTTCTTCTTCCTCCCTTTGTATACAGTCTGTGATAGTTTCACACTTGTAATTGGTCATTGTATTGAAATCTATCTTAATTTATCTCATCACTCAATGTTGCACAAAAATCCTTACTGTACATTTCACAAAAACAATTCCTTTAAGCACACTGTTCAAACCATGATATCATACACTAGTTTATGTAGTCATTTACTGTCAAATTTCTTAGCACATATTGAAGTAAATGTTTCCCATTGTTCGAACCACCATTTTTCATCCTTCTCAAAATCAATGCCCCATTTTGAATTTCAAACCCAAGGCTATGAAACACAGAGGCTATTCGCGAGACACAAACCATGCCGGAGCACAAATCTCCCCACTTACGAGATGTGAAAGCCACAGAAATGGGAGAAAACGGAAAGATCTTTACCGAGTGCTTTCCATGGCCAATGGCTTCGTAGATATGGTACTGATTCATCCTTTCTGCTTGGAGATGGGACTGATTCATCCTTTTCTGCTACGGAGAAGTTGAATACTCAGCTTGAGAGCTCTCCGATGGCGTTGGGCGTGTGTTGGTCGGAGAAACGCCGGCGGTGGCCAAAAAACTCTGTTAGCCACTATGGCTCTAATCGCCTAAAATCAAAACGGTCAAATGAAATGCCATAGCCTAGGGTATTATTATCCGATATTCTTGTGCTTTATGCAGGCCAACCCGCCAAACGGATTCCCAAATTTCAAAAACAGAGAAAACTAGTTAATCTAAACATAGAAAATTAAGGGTCTGTTTGGTATATCGAATAGACAAAATTAGAATTGAATTGAAATTGAAATTCCATGAATTCAATTTCATAGAATTGAATTCTGCCAATTTCAATTCATTTTTTGCACCATCAATTCCAAATCCACATAATTTTTGTGTTACCAAACACCAAACGGGGCCTAAGTTTCAAAACTTAGATAGTTGCCTTTATAGTTCTGATATTACTGCGCTAATGCACCTCTGGATATTACTATACTAGTTTTGATATTCAAAATGGGTGACAATGCCCCTCTCTTTTTTCTTTATTGTTTTTCTTTTTTCCTTTTTTCATAAAGAAAAGAAAAATATTTGTATGTAAAATAATGGGAAAAAAATTTCAAACCTACATTTTTAAAAAAGTATTAAAAATAAAAAATTATTTGTGTTTGGAATAAAAAATTTAACATACACTTCATTTGTCAAATAAAATATTTTTGTTCTTTGTTTAAAAAAATTTATGCTTTTGAGTATGTCGGGACCAAAAGAATACTGAGTAACGTCTTATTTATATATAGTTAATTATATATTGCAAATACAAAAAAAATATTTTGAAGTGTATGTTAATTCTTGTTATTTAATTGATTTTTATTGCAAACACAAAAAATTGATTATTAAAGCAATATAAAAAAATATTCTAAAGAAAATTAATGAAAAAAATAGTACAAAAAAGAAAAGAATAAAGAAAGGATAGGATGTTTGTACCAATTTCCAAAACCATATGGACAATGGTGTTATTCATATAATATTTGAAATATATTTTAGTCTAAAGGAGCATTGGCGTAGCAATATCAGAACCATGAAGGACAATGTCGTAAGTTTTGAAACCATTGGAAGTAACGTTGTACATTTGTCAAATCACATGGGGTCATGATGCAATAAACTCTTTATTTTACATCAAGTGTCAAGGAATTTGAATTCAAATAACCCCGTTTAATTCTCCCCAATAAAAGGTTATGCGTTTGAACTCTGGTGAAGACTATAATTCTATGGATTTTTTTAGATTGAGAATGTATGGACAGATACTACCTAGTAATAGAGTTATTAACATTCAAAAATGTTAAGGCTCCGTTTGGTATAAGGAATTCAAAAACATTAAGGCTCCGTGTGTGTGTGTGTCTGTGTGTGTGTGCGCGCACACACACACAATATTTCTTTTTCATTTTTGTACATGTAAAAATTAAATCTTTAATATATGAAGTATTATATTTTACTTTTATATAATTCATAAGAAATTAATAATATAGAACTTTTTAATGATTTTTGCTTTTAATTTTCTCATTTCCTTTTTTAAAAAAAATTAATTTTTAATTTTTAATTTTTTCTTATTTTTAATTTTTTTACATATATTGTTGAATATTTTTAAAGAAAAAATGCTAAAAAAATAATTTTCCTAATAGCCAAGTCCAAAAGCAAAAAGGCTACTTCCCTTAGCTTTTCAGATTTTGACTTTTTGAATCAGACAGCCAAGTGAAAAGTCATTAGTCAAATAATGATTTTGGATGTTTGATTAGTCAAAAAGTCTAACTCAGCCAAAGATGCCAAAAGCTATCTGAAAAACTATTTTCCAAACAAGGCCCTTTAGGTATTGGAGTATAGACTTTCTAGACCGGTATAAAATATAGTCCACTTCACTTTCCATATTTAATCACCAAGTTTAATGCTTCTACTTTTATTTATACGCCTATTTCATATAAGTTATATTGTAGACAGAAATAATCTTTAAAGTTGAAGTAGTTTTCGCAACACCTTGTTCACCTACCCTCTTAGCGTTTGGAATCTTGACTGTGAGGTGGTAGCTGTAATGACGACAAAGGACATTAACGCCATTGATAATGACAATAACGATATACAGTAATTATGATGACTATTTAAGGAGGATGACGCCAAGACTTGCAATAGTGACAGTGATGTGTGGCGGCATGGGCTTGGGCAAAGAGTTGCGAATTAGAGTTAAAAAATATGAAGAAATACATAATTAGAACTTTTATATTCCAAATTTCAAAATCAAATGTTTAATATTTTTATACAGAGTACTGAAATAAGACTTATAGTGCCAACTAATGTCAACATATAATAACAAAAATATTGTAAAATGTCGATAAATAATATTAAATCGTAGCATTTCAAAATATCAACAATTCAACACCTCTATTTAGAAATATAAGATCTTACTTTGGTAGAAGTTTCATACTTCAATCTTGTTTAGGTGCATTTAAAAAAAGTTATTATGAAAAATGACATTACGGAGTAGCATAGTTAATTACTTTATAATCAATTAATTAATTTAGCAATATTTGAGGAATAAAAAAACCCACACTATGGGTAAAGTTACTACCCTATGTTTTGGTCACTAGTATCACACTCGTCCGTTGCACGAGTCATTTTTATGTTATTAAATTCAAATCATTTTTCAATGATCAAAATGAAATGCAATAGAATATATAGATTTGAGTAAATTTCCAAAATGATCCTTTGTAATAAGGTGTTTTCCCAATTCAGTCCTTAATAAGGTTTAATAACCTACATAGTCTTGAATAAATGTGATTTATTCCCAAGATAGTCTTTCCTAAATAATGTTACTCAAATGATGATTAATTGGGAGATATTTTAGGTATTTTGACCATCCAAATTTAAAGTATATTTTTAAAAAAGTCATTTCTGTACAACTAAATGTAAAATTCAAAAAAATACATTGACTATAAATAATTCATGAGTTATTTAGAACTTATAAAAAAATCTTTTAAATTTCAAATCAAATACACATCTTTAATTAGAAAAAACCATTTTGGGAAAGCACTTCATTATAAATGATCATTTTAAGAATTAATTCTAAATTTAGAAAATAAAAAATTACTAAAATACCCTCAATTCATCCTCATTTGAATAACATTATTTACGAATGACCATCTTGGGAATAAATCTCAATTATAGAGGACCATATAGGTAATTAAAATTTATTGAGGACTAATTTAAGAAAACACCTTATTACAGAGGACTATTTTGGGAATTTACTCTATAGATTATATTATTTTAAGGTACAAAACATCATTGCTTTACAAAATTTTGAAAAACTTCTTTATAAACTACATTATTTGTATAATTTGTGGGAATATTGTCTTTATTGCATATTAGAATCTTCAACCCACTACGATTAGTTACTCTTTCAACCCATTGCATATCATTCATACATTATTCATAGCTTTTCAGGAGCCATTTTTGTGAAGTTCGTGTTGTGTTCTTGACCGTTCTTAGTTACTCATTATCCACTCTAAAAGAGAGTAATGTTCTTGAGCGATTTAGTGTTCTTAGACACTTGATAAGAGAGTTTTTCTCTTGAGTAGTTTGAAGGAAGGGTTGTTTCCTTCGAGGGTTTGTTGAGGTTCGTGTGACTCAAATTTTCAAGTTGTACGTGTTTGTTAAGCACCGTTAAGCTTAACATTATTAGTGTAGCTCGAGAGAGTCTCTCGGGAGGCTGAACTAGCCACACGTTGTGGTGAACCAGGATAAAAACGGTGTGCCTCTTCCTTGCTCTTTACTTTACGCTTTTAATTTCTTATTCCAGCGTCATTTTCGTTTCAAACGCTATTCACCCCCCTCTAGCGTTGGGACGTTTTTCTAACAATTTTCTATGACAAAGAAAAATGATATTATATTTGAAAATGGAAAATCGTGAAAAGGTGAGATTATTTAATATAATTTGTCTTATTTATTAAATTATCTTAAACGAATTTACACATCACCATTTTCTTTTGTAGTAAAAGAATATGTCGCTCACCATTTCACTTATTTGTCCCCAAATAAAAATTGCAATTTGCAACTAATTTCAAACATTGTGAAAAAGTAATAATTGTTTGTATAAAATTTGTTTTAAAAAAAGTGTTGCGGAATTTATTTAGGAACTGATTAAAGAAATACTCTGTAAAAATTTATTTGGGATATACCCGGAGTAGTAAATTTGAACAACATACAAGTACGAAATATGTTTTTTTTTAAATTTTTAAAATTAGGAAGATCAAAGTAAAAGTAAAATATATGAAAAGAATCAAAATAAGATTTTCTTATTTTTATCTCCAATAATGCCAACATATAATACCAAAAGACATTGTGAAATAACAATGTACTCCATCAATCCCTAATTTGATAAAAAAAATTGGGAGTTACGAAACAAAATTTCATGTCTTTTAAAAAGATCTTATTCAAAAATTGGTTCATCAATAAGAAATAAAAATTATATATTAAAAAACTACGTCAAAAGTTCCACAACACGAGATGTGACAAGAATATTTTATTTTATCAAATAATTAATGAAGACACATAAATAAATAAAAGTTATCGAGAGGAGAGAAAAAAGATTGCAATTTGTTTTGAAACGGGGGAGTACAATACAATATTGTCATAGTACAAAAAACTATTTTAGATAAAAACATGTCATTCATATATTAAGAATAAGTGCTAAGTTTTATTTCTAAAAATTTTAGGTTATTTGTTTATTACCCGAGAGTATTACTCTATTAAATTATGTGTAGGTAAGCTAAGTATTACTCTGCACATTTAGAGCTTGTTCTTTAGAGCTTGAACTTTTAACTTCTAGTTTCTTTCAATTCATTCTAGTTCTTTCCAGTTCCTTCCAGTTTTTTTCAATTTCTTACCGTTCCTTCTAGTTCTTTCCAGTTTTTTCGAGTTTCTTCTAGTTTTTTCCAGTTTCTTCCAACTATTTTTATTTTCTTCAAACTCTTTCTACTTCCCGACCAATTATTCTAAAACGATATATTATCATTATTAAACTTATTATGTTCATAACTATAGCTTATAAATTATTTCATTTTTTTATCTCGCTATTTTTATTTTTCACACTGATTATAA